TTTTACGAGAAGCAAGTAAAATTCACTCAAATTCGATTATTTCTGTTAACTGAATAAATACTAACTTTTAATTAGTGCTTTTTTTATTAAAAAAAATAATAGATATAAACTCATTGCCTAAAATTATAAATGTTTAAATCTTTAATTTTAAATTTAACTTTAAACTAAAAAATTAATTGATACAAACACAGCATAAACAATTTTAACAAAATTTTTATAAAAAAAAAATGAAAATCCAGACGTACATTCAGAACCAGAACATTCCAAAAAAATATACTCCAGAACTGCATGCCTCAGACTCCGTGCATTAACAATCATCAAAATAGTTAGTGGGATCCTAACTTTTTTAATTTAATTCTCTCAAAATCAAAAGAATAATAAAAAAAAAGGGGAGATTCTTCGCCGAATTTCCACTCTCCCCGATACTAATTTGTCCACATCACTAGATTCCATAAAAATCACCAACGACGGCGCCACATGTGATTATTTTATTTGACAGAAAGCAGCTCAACACCTTGATCGGGACTGATGCACACTTTCGCCGCCTCCGCCGCAGGGAACAGAAAGTGAGCGTTCCTTTGACTTTGACCTCATCTCTGCTCCGATTGCTAAATTTTCAGGTAATCTATCCATTTTCACAGCCATTGGGATTTGAATTCCATCGTTTTCGTAGTAAACGGCAACTACTTGGAGATTATTAATGGTGTTTGCTTGGTGCAATAGCTTTCTGTCATTTTTTTTCTTTTTGTTGTTTCTGCAGTTCTTGGCTTCGATTCTGTGATTAATGGAGCCTCCATTGATGGTTTTTCCGGAGAGGTTCGTGCTTACAAACGGTATGTTTGAATGAACGCAGTGTACGTCTAATTTTGCATTTCATAATAAAGGGTTTTGTTGGGTTTTTATTTTTTTAGTAATATCGGTGTTGCTTCTCTTGTTTGTTTGTGTTTTCTAGAGAATAATGATTCCACGCTTCAACTTGTTGATTTGATTGATTTGAGTTAAGGATTTGCCAAAAATGAGTAGAAATTGTCTGTTGAACCTATTAATTTTTCTTTTTTGGCAAACAGAAAGGAAGATGGTTTATCTTGTTTTACTGAAAAAAGCACTTGGGATTTAGTGCAAACTCTTTGAAAATTATATATATATTTTTGTATTTTTTACAGAGGTTCATTCAAAACAATATAAAAGAAGGAAGCTACAACGTGATGAAATAGACAATGGTACCATGGCCACCCGTGCAAATACTCAGGATAAAACTAAAGAGAAGAAGCAGAAAGTCTCTCCCAATGTTATAGATTATTCTGATCCATTTGCAATCTCTAATATGCTGGACACATTTAATGCTGGTGGTAAATATGGGAGTGTTACAAAGGAAATAGATGCCCTTGTTTTGAGGAACACAGAAATGTTAAACCCTTTTCTGGTTATGTATCCGGTTCTTTCAACCATGTTCCCCGATGGGAAGAATGACCTGGAGAAAGAGGCTTTGGAGTTGGCAACTATACAAGCAGCGCGTGATAATGTTGTCGGCTTTGGGGATGACAATGTTGCAAATCATGTTACAACAAAAATATCACCTGTTGTGATTCCTGATTCAGATGATGAAGACAATGGAATAGAAAAGCCGCAGCATAACTCTCTGGAAGTTTCTGTGTGGAAGCCTCCTGCGTCTGCTGGACAATTTCTTGTTAGGGACATTGGGGTAAGTTCTTGTGCATGTGTAGTTTCCTTCTCTCTCTCTCTCTCTCTCTCTCTCTCTCTGTGAGCGTGTGTGTGTGTGTGTGCTTGGAAAATGATACTTTTTCTTCCAAAACTAAATATTTAGTGGGTTTTCCTGTTTTGATGTCATTTCGATCCATTCTTAAAATGATTGGTATGATTGCCATATTCAGTTTAGGGAGTATATGGAGAAGAGAATGTACAGGGACGAAAAAGTTGCTCTCCCCAATGCAGTTAATAAAAAGAGTCTCTCCAGAGCAGTTGGTACGAAAAGTCTCTCCGGTGCAGTCGATATCAAGAAGGATGAGGGTGTTTATCTTGGTGTCGAAGAGGATTTTGATGATCAAACTGAGCCCAAGGATGACGGTTTGGGTGATATCTGGAAGGAAATGACAATGGCATTAGAGTGTTCTAAGGTATTTTCATTTCATGTGTAATGGGGATCTTCTTTATAATTTTTTTTTTTTTTTTGATAAATGATCATCTTTATAATTTATTTACATGTTACTTTTATTTAGGCCAGCAATATGAATTTTTTATAATGTATTGTGTCAAGTCTCATTCTTCAGCGTTCTGGTCACTAACTCTGAAAATGTCTGATTAGGAGTGAGTGCTAGGTCTGAGACTTCTGGAGAACTTAGAGATGACTGAGAACTGATGATGTTGGGATAATACAATTAATGTTTACTAGAGGATCTTAGTATTTGATAGTTTTATTTTCATTTGTTTTCAGTTAGGATTTTGTTTGATCTGTATCAGATCAGGCAGAATTATGTTGAATGTTGAAGAAATGGTTCAGCAAGTACTTAATAAGCAGGACTCATAATGACAGTGTATGTAGCCAGTTGATTTTTTGCTAGATAATATAAGTTACTTTGAACTGCACTTTTGACGACTTTCCTTTAGGTGGGTAATGTTATTTTTCTTTCTGTTATATTATTCTTGGCACCTGCATTGTGCACTAGTTCTTTTTCATTTTTATTTTGATGATTGATCCTCAACAATTTGAGCCCCTTTTTTTTTGTGGTAGAAATGTACCATCTGGATTTTCTTAATAATTGACTGCAGAAAATTCTACCCTTGGTGAATTTCCTTTTTCATTGATGTGATTATGATGCTTTTTGGCAGGAAGTTTCTGAGGATCCTTCTTCTGAGGAACACGTAGAAGAAGATGAGGATTGTGATCATTCTTTTGTCTTGAAAGATGATATTGGTTATGTCTGTCGCATTTGTGGTGTCATTGAAAAAGGAATTGAGACCATAATTGACATTCAGTTTAACAAGGTATACTGATTGACTCTGTTTATTACGTTTGTACCTCTCTTTTCTGTAAGGTGTGATTGAATCCAGCAACTGTTTTGTCAGCTTACTGTTCTAGGTTGGAAATGTTGTCATATTTTAACTTCTTCTTTTTTTTTTTTTCCTGATCCAGACCAAAAGGAGTACAAGGACATATGCAAATGAGCCGCGGAATACCAAGGACAGAGAGTCAACTGGAGCAGTTGGGGTTAAACTGTCTAAAGATGATTTAATAGCAATTGACATCACTGCTCATCCAAGGCATATGAAGCAAATGAAGCCTCATCAGGTGGAGGGCTTTAATTTTCTTCTCAGTAACTTGGTCACAGAGAATCCTGGGGGCTGCATTTTGGCACATGCACCTGGATCTGGCAAGACTTTTATGATCATAAGTTTTATGCAGAGCTTCCTAGCCAAATATCCACATGCTAAACCACTGGTTGTGCTTCCTAAAGGTATCTTGGCTACATGGAAAAAGGAGTTTGAAACATGGCAAGTCGAGGATATTCCACTGTTTGATTTTTACTCTGTTAAAGCAGACAATAGGGCTCAGCAATTGGAGGTACTGAAGCAGTGGGTTGAGAAGAAGAGTATCCTTTTCCTAGGGTACAAACAGTTCTCTACCATCATTTGTGATGGTGGAACAAGCAACACATCTGTTACATGTCAAGAAATACTGCTCAAGGCACCTACAATTCTAATTTTAGATGAGGGGCATACACCTAGGAATGAGAATACTGATGTGTTGCAATCCCTTGCAAAAATACAAACACCTAGAAAAGTTGTACTTTCAGGAACTCTCTACCAAAACCATGTTAAAGAGGTATTCAATATTTTGAATCTTGTTCGGCCAAAGTTTCTTAGGATCGATACATCCAGAGCAGTTATTAAGCGGATATTGAGTAAAGTAAATATATCTGGTGTGAGGAAGCAGCTCAAAGCAGGTGCAGATGCAGTCTTTTATGATTTGGTGGAGCACACACTACAAAAAGATGAAAATTTCGAGAGAAAAACCTCTGTCATACATGATCTACGTGAGATGACAAGCAGGGTGCTTCACTACTACAAGGGAGATTTCTTGGATGAGCTTCCTGGCCTTGTTGATTTTACTGTAGTTCTCAATCTCAGTTCCAGACAGAAGAATGAAGTCCAGAACCTGAAGAAGTTTCAGAGAAAGTTTAAGATTTCCTCTGTTGGAAGTGCTGTTTATCTCCATCCAAAACTGAATTCTTTCTCTGAGAGATCTGTTGCAACAGATGTTCAAATGGATGAGATGTTAGAGAAACTAGATGTAAATGATGGGATCAAAGCAAAATTCTTTCTTAACATGTTAAACTTATGTGATTCAGCTGGTGAGAAAATGCTTGTCTTTAGCCAGTACCTCACACCCTTGAAATTTTTGGAGAGACTAGCAGTTAAGATGAAGGGCTGGCATCTAGGTCGTGAAATCTTTTCAATAACAGGCGACTCAAGCTCTGATGAACGGGAATATTCTATGGAGCGTTTCAACAACTCCCCTGATGCTAGAGTTTTCTTTGGATCAATCAAGGCTTGTGGAGAAGGAATTTCTTTGGTGGGGGCATCCCGCATTATAATTCTAGATGTTCACCTCAATCCTTCTGTGACCCGCCAAGCTATAGGCCGTGCATTTCGACCTGGCCAGAAGAAGAAAGTATACGCATATAGGCTGATTGCTGCTGATTCGCCTGAAGAGGAAGATCATAGTACTTGCTTCAAGAAGGAATTAATTGCAAAGATGTGGTTTGAATGGAATGAGTACTGTGGTTACCGGGATTTTCAAGTAGAGACTGTTGATGTCAACGTTTGTGATGATCTCTTTTTGGACAGCCCACTGTTAAGGGAAGATATAAGGGTTCTTTACAGAAGGTTGGTTCTCACATCACCCCCTTTCATACCTGTTTTCTTTTGGATGTTCCATACCAACTTCTTTTTTCTATACTTTTCAGGTAGTTGCTGAGAGCATAGCGCTGACTGGCTGAGTCAGTGACTCAGGCACAACGTTGCAGGGATGAAGAGTGGCTTACCCTGGGTAGGCACAATAATGCCTATCCTCACTGGCTGTAGTCATTTATCTTTAAGACGGTTTTCCTTGGTTTTATGAACTTCTCAGTGCAATCTAGTTGAGTTGCTGAAAAGCAATTTAGTATCCTAGATGCTATAGAGATGATGATCCATTTCAGATGGCTCCTTTATTGGAGGCTTTTAAACCTACCTTCAGGGGCGCAGAAGCTGTTGAGCAAACCTAGACGCTCAAATAAGAGAATGAAAGTTCTGTCAATACTGTAGCAGCCCTTTTTTTTTTTCCACCCATGCTTGCCACATGTGTACGGTAAGAATTAACTTTCTTAAAAATTATAAATTTATGTTAAATTATTTTTTTATTAATTATAATTAAACAATTAATTTAAACAACTTTTTCACACTTAATCGTTAAACGGAATGATTTTTGTCACTTTATTAAAATATAATTTTTTTTCTTGAACATGAGGTTGAAACCCATAATGCCTTATTTAAAAAAATAAATAAACAACCTTTTAACTTTTTCAAAAAAGCTAAAGTTGGAAAAAAAAAAAAAAGGAGGCTCCTTTTTCTCTTCCTGAATTCATGTATCGATTATTGAGCCACATCGGAAAGTTTAATGTAATCCCAAAGCGTTAACTAACTAAAGGGAATTAATTTGCGGTTCATTCATTCTTTCATGCCCTCTGGGCCTCCTGGGAAAATTCCTTCGTGGAAAGTGGGTTCCTCCCATGACAAACCAGAAGCAGAGGGCAAAGGGACTTGCCAGTTGCCACTGCTTCAACGCATGTATTCTTGCAGGAGAAATTCTTGAATGAAACAGATACACGCTCTTCCCATTGAAAATGTTCACACCAACTGATGAAAAATTTAATAAAGTCTTACATAAAATTGCAGTAATCATGTACCTTTTTTTAAAAAACTTGAATATTAAAATATAACTTAAAGATATATTTATTATTATTATTATTATTTGATTTATATAACAAATAAATTTTATTTTTAATACTAATGTTACATAAAACGATTTATTTAAATTACTAATAAAACATAATAGTATATTTGAATTGAAAATAACAAAAAAAAGAGGAGGGGGGGGGCGATTTTTTACTCTCTTTTATTTTATTATTTTTAAAAACCTTTTTATTTTGTTTGTTTAATTTTTTTTTTTTTTTTTAATTCAAATATATAGTAAGTCAATTTTTATTTTTTTATGTAAATTAATAATAAAATGATTTAATAAATATACTCTTAATAAGTTAAAAATTTTCACTTATCAATTTATATAGAAGTTGTGAGAAATTCTAGTGTAAAAATAAATTACAATAATTTTATGGCTTTGGTCATAGCTACCATCATCTTTGTTAAAGCCACCAAATCAATTAAACTATTAATTTAATTTAATTATTAAAAATAAATAATAAATAATATATATTATTTAACATATTAAAATTAATTTTAAACATATACTTTTAAATATATTAGTTAAAAACAAAAGTATATAAACTATTAAAATTACGGAGAACATCAGTGGCCTTCATAAATTTTGTTTTTTTTGGAAATAGGCCTTCATAAAATTGTTAGTCGCCCGTAATCTCAGCCTAGTTTTAGGTGGTTGCTTCCAGGTAGAGTTTTTCATCCGATTTGGGCTCAAGTCATTCCTTTCCTGGAAACCCTCTAACATGTGACTTTGTTAAAAAGAAAAAAAAAAAAATTTTGATGAATAACGTTGTCATTTTACCATTGGCTGATGTAGAAGACAATAGATGTAAACAGTGTGTACGGTTCACTGGAAACTTATCACCTCTTGTAGGAGGACGTTTCATTTTCATTTCACATTTCATGTATCAGAAGAGAGAAAGGTGAGAGACAAAACAGAGATCAAGAGTGAGCAAATAGAAGCCATTATTGTCATCTAAAGGAATAGAAACGAAAGGAAAGGGTATACATTATCGTTTGGTTTTGGTGGGTTAATGGCTGTTCAGAGAAAGAAGCAAACTTTTTTTTTTTTTTGGGTGTTTCATTGTTGTCTTTCTTTTTGTATTGTTCCATTGATGAAGCTACTTAGTGGTGTTTCTTACTTTCTTTTGTGTAGATTGATTACTGTTATGGAGATATCAGAACTTCAATGCCAGAGTTCCTTTGCCGCCAAGTCTGGTATGTGGGTATTAATACATGCTTTTCAATTTTTTGTAGTATCTCGTATTCATCAGTGTTTGATTTTGATTCTCTATATGTTTTTTGCGTCCTTCTTGTATGATCATTTTTGGGTTTATTTGCTTTTGTTTGAAAGGTTGTCTATCTTTGCAAAAGTTAGCTCCTTTGTGGGAAAAAAGATTGATTTTTGTTGTTCGGTTGTTCCTTCAGCTTAAGGGTATTTTGATTCCTCTGGGGAAATTACATACACGATTTCTTGTCCATGAAAACTTTGTCCTTTTGTTTTTCCAGACATTGCATCCAATCCGCACCCTCCCTCTCTGTTTGTGAAGTGTTTTATGTTTATGTTGCTTTGCATTTAACATGCTACCTTAATTTGTCTCCTTTTACCTCCAAACTTCTGTTGCAAGGGTTATTTGCACTTTGTTTCATGATATAAATAAATACCCATTCATATGCTATCTGCACTGATTTTCATGTTGATAACAGATTTTTACCATGAGAGGCCTAAGAGGAAGAGAATCCTCAACAATGACAAGGGACAGGACTATACCATGCGGCCCATGCCTACTCTTTTTCTGGATTCAGATAGGAGTAAATATGGTAGTGTGGGTAAAGAAATTGAGGCACTTCATGCTGAAGAGTTAAGAATCAAGGCCCTTGGTGATCAGAGATCAAAAATTCCAAATCCTGATCAAGAGATCAGTCTTATGAATCACAATGCTTTTGCCCCATTTGCTATCCCTGCTGTGTTTCTGGATTCAGATAAGAGTAAATATGGCAGTGTGGCAAATGAAATTGAGGCTCTGTGTGCTCGTGCTATAAAGATTGAGGCCCTTCATGCTCAGAAATCAAAATTTTTGAATCCTAGTCATGAGCCTATTGAGGTACTTATTTCTTCAGATAAGGAGCAGAGTGGAAACCTTTTAAAGTCAGAGAAACATAAGATCATTCATCATGTCAATCATAATTGTAGTATTAGTGAGCAGGCATCACATTCAGAAGGTCATAGTTTCATTCAACCACTGGCTGGTCCAGCAAATTCAACTTTAAGCGATCAAACAGTCACCACACCAGAGGCAAAAATTTTCATCGACTTGGAGGATGATCATGATGGAAATGATGATAGGGAAAAGTCAAAAACCATCATATTCATTGATTCAGAGGATGAAGACCTCCAAGCTCAAAGGTCTTTTCATCACAATCAGAATGATTTTTTGGAGGAACCTGCTGTTCAACTTCTACAAAATGATTCGAAGGTACTGCTTTCCGCTCATCAGGTTTAGAGATGAAAACATCTTCTATCATATTTTGGAAGGTTTTATGGGACTTAGGCAGTTCCTAATCCATTAGGAAATGGTGTATGAAATGTTTAACCTTCTTCCCATGTGAGAAGGAAACTACATTGTTTGGAATTTTCACTTCTTTTCACTTTCCAGATTTACATATTTATCAAGTTGGGGTTTGTGTGCAGGTCAATAGCAATCATGAAATTGCTGTTATGATAGATGAAAGTGTTGAGCCTGTTGACCATTATTCAGCAGGAAAGGTTTCAGAAGAAATGGAGATTGAGGAAGACAACCATCAAATTGGTGCTGCCTCTGATTGTTTGGCAGACTTTGGTAAAAATATTGCACTTTTAGTAGAACGTGCTGCAGATGAAGCAGGAAGCTCCTCTAGTAACATTGTGGTTGGGATGTCTAAAAGTTTTGATCAAGTTGGGGGATCAGGAGAAGTTATAAGTCTCCCTGAAGCTGACATAAAGCTAGATAAAAGTGTGACTTGCTGCATGGATGATGAAATGGATATTGAGGAAAACAACCGCCAAATTGGTGCTGCAGATGAAAGTTTGGCTGCCTTTTCCAAAGATAGGCCATTTCCAGTAGAATGCTCCAAGGTATTAATGCTTAAAATTGACAGTTAAGTAACACTAGTTGCTTTACTATCATTAGTAACGTTTGCATTGATTATCTTGTCCAGGTCAAGGGCTCAGAGAGACTAGTTCAAAGAGAAGATGCAGGAAGCTGTTCCCATGAAATTGTGGGCAGCATATCTGAAAGTGTTGACCAGGTTAAGGGAACAGATTCAGGAGAAGAAGTGAAAAATCTTCCTTATGTTGATGCCAAGATAGCTTCTGCAGAAGAATTGGGAAGCCTTCCTAACGTTGATGTCAAGATATCATCTGTGGAAAAAGTGGGAAATCTTCCTAATGTTGATGTCAAGATAGCTTCTGCCAAAGAAGTGGGAAGTCTTCCTAATGTTGATGTCGAGATAGCCTCAGAGGAAGAGCTGGAAAGTCTTCCAAATGTTGATGTCATGAGTGCATCAGGGGAAGGATTGGGAAGACTACTTGCTTTGGATGCCGAAACAGACGAAAGATTTCATGACCCAGATGATGAAATGGTAATTGAGAAGGAAAATCAACAAACTGATGGTGCAGATGATGATCTGGCTCATATTTGGAAGGAAATGGCGTTTTCAATGGAATGTTCCAAGGTATTAATTTATACCAATGGTCTAATGGTAGCCTTCCTGCTACCTTCTTTTTGAGCAAGAGAAAAATTTCTTCTTTACAGGTTGCCCTGAGCACTTTTTTCTGAATTTATTGGTTACACTTGCACATATAATACATGCTTTCATGAAAAACACAGTATTGGTGACCTTTAGTTTTGTCTGCCAGTAAATATACATGGAAAAGAAGGACCACTCTGTGTTTCTGTATGAATGTATGGTATTCCACAATAGGGAATCTTGTACTCTAGATTTGAATAGCTACCCTGTCTCTTCATTATGGCATTACAAGAGAATTAGTATCTTTAAACCTCAGCATTTTCATGCATTTATTGGTGAAAGTATTCTCTCCAAAAACTGCCTGCATCTTCATCATTGCTGATACTACCACCATCGAGCACTCACCTTTTACATTAGCTCTTGGTATCATCATGATCACTACCTTATGCATTGTCCTTCTGTACTTCTTTAATATACCCAGGTAGCCATGCTTTCTGTCTTATATCCATATTTGGGCTGCATTAACTTGGCTGTTTTTCATATATCCCCATTCCATTTTCTAAACCATGCAGGGAAATGCTCCTTCCCATTGTGTGCTCCCTTTTTTTATTATTATTTTGTTTTTCTGAAGTATCTCCAATGACTGGCATGATAGGTTTTAAACTTATCTTCTAGAAAAGATGTTTTATCCTGAATTCTGTTACTTACTGGAGTATTCCACCCATAAGAGGTTTCTCTGTCCTCCTGGCTTAATATCATACTGTTTTAACTAGGATATCTGTGATAATTCTTTACCTGATAAACATGCAAAAGAAGATGATGACTGTGAGCACTCATTCATACTCAAGGACGATCTTGGATATGTTTGTCGCATCTGTGGAGTAATTCAGAGAGGCATTGAGACCATATTTGAGTTTGTATACAGTAAGGTATGATTCCTTGATTTCATTTCTTTTTATTTCTTTACTTCAATGGTTAAGATAGGAATGAAAAGTGGTGAAGCATGATTACTTATAATTTTAGGTGCCTGATTCTGGATGTGTTATACACTTACGTTAAGTAAAATTTCCTTAATAAGGTGGATTTAAGTAGAAGCCTGGGAAGTATGTAGGATGAAAGTGGTGTTTTTACATGTGAGTTTTAATATTTCTATTTATTCAGGGCAATAAATCAACAAGGACATATGCATCTGAACATCAGAATTCAAACAAGAGTAGGTTGAATGAGAATGATCCTGATGGAGTTAAGTCTCCTGAAGATGATTCAATGGTGACAGAAGTTTCTGCCCATCCAAGGCACTGGAAACAGATGAAGCCCCATCAAGTGGAAGGCTTCAATTTCCTCTGTAGGAATCTTCTGGTGGATGAGCCAGGGGGTTGCATATTGGCTCATGCTCCAGGCTCTGGTAAAACATTTATGATTATAAGTTTTATTCAGAGTTTCTTAGCAAAATTTCCCCAAGGAAAACCATTGGTTATATTGCCAAAAGGCATATTGCCAACTTGGAAGAAAGAGTTCCAAAGATGGCAGGTCGAAGACATCCCACTGCTTGATTTTTACACTTCAAAAGCAGAGAATCGGTCTCAGCAGCTTGATGTTTTGAGACAATGGATGAAGCAAAAGAGCATCTTGTTTTTGGGGTACAAGCAGTTCTCTGTAATTGTCTGTGATGATGGTAGCAGCAACAAGGTGGCAGCTGACTGTCGAGATATATTGCTAAGGGGACCCTCCATTCTTATTTTAGATGAAGGTCACACTCCAAGGAATGAAAACACAGATGTCGTTCAATCATTAGCAAAGGTGCACACCCCTCGGAAAGTGGTTCTTTCAGGAACACTTTACCAAAACCATGTAAAAGAGGTGTTCAATATCTTGAATCTTGTTCGTCCAAAGTTTCTGAAGTCCAGGACTTCACGAGCTATTGTAGCCCGTATTATGAGCAGAGTACAGATACCAGCTGAAAGGAAACAATTGAAAGTTGGTACTGAATCGGCATTTTTTGATTCCGTAGAGTATACACTGCAGAAGGATGAAGATTTCAAAAGGAAAGTAGCTGTCATACAAGATCTCCGTGAGATGACTTGCAAAGTCCTCCATTACTACAAGGGAGATTTTCTTGATGAGTTACCTGGACTTGTTGATCTAACTGTTGTGCTAAAACTGAGTGCAAGACAGAAAGATGAAGTGCAAAAGTTGAGGAAGTTGGATAAGTTGAAGCGGATAGCGGTGGGAAGTGCTGTGTATGTGCATCCAGAGTTGAAATATTTTTCAGAGAAATATCCAGCAACTGGAGACAAAGGCTCATCAGTCAATGATGAAAATATAGATCGAATGTTAGAAAAACTCGATGTGAAACATGGGGTGAAGATGAAATTCTTTCTTAATATACTGGGTTTATGTGAATCGAATGATGAGAAGCTGCTCGTTTTCAGCCAGTTTATACTCCCCTTGAAACTTTTGGAGAGAGTTTCAGTAAAGCAAAAGGGGTGGAGATCCGAAAAAGAACTGTTTATGATAACAGGTGACACAAGTTCTGAACAAAGGGAGCGGTTTATGGAACGGTTTAACAGTTCCCCAGATGCTAAAGTCTTATTTGGTTCAATCAAAGCCTGTGGGGAAGGGATCTCTTTGGTGGGGGCATCCAGAATCCTGATCCTGGATGTTCACCTCAACCCCTCGGTAACACGCCAAGCAATAGGCCGTGCATTTCGACCAGGGCAGACGAAAAAAGTATACACTTATAGATTGGTTGCAGGTGATTCACCTGAGGAGGAGGACTACCTCACTTGCTTCAGAAAGGAATTGATTTCCAAAATGTGGTTCGAGTGGAATGAAGGCTGTGGGCATCAAGACTTCAGAGTAAATACTGTTGATGTGGACGATTGTAATGATCCCTTCTTGGAAAGCTCAGTCCTGAGGGATGATATAAAGGTTTTAAACAAAAGGTTAGCATAACCAACCCTCTTTCAAGTTTACATCAAACATTTAAATGTATCCCTGTGTGAAATCAGGCTGAACTTCTTTCTGTACTACAATTTTCAGGTGAACGCAGGTATCTATAACCAGCCCTAGGGCATTCCATTGGTAAACAGCAGTACACTTGGGTGGACAAAGGTTGTCAACTTTTTTTGTGCTCATTAATGCTTTTATTTGTATCATGAGCTAGTTTTTCATGTGTTTCGGTATAGGGGAACCTAAGAACAAGAAATTTACAGAACAAACTGTTAAAAGTCAAGTCATTTTGGAAATATTAGTCATAGAAGGGGTACGTTGAAACCCAAAATACAAGGAATCCATGCTTGTGGTTTAAGTCGAAATGTTCTTACAATGTAATGGTGATTTTGATGAGTGTTGGAAGCTGTTGGTATAACAAAGACAGTTGTCAAAAACAACTAGGAGCAAAAGAACACAGAAAGCGTGAATGTACATGGTGACAAGATAACAAGCAAATTCCTACCTTTATTTCAAATCAGGAGTGTCTTTTTTTTTTTTTTTTTTAATTTCTTTTGGTGCATTGGACGGGTGGTATATACTATATACCCTGAATCTGCTATTTTGGATTATAAAATACTTTTTCGATATACCATATATGACACAAAACAAATGATTCTTTCCTTTCAATATCTCGCAGGACCCTCACATATTTAGAATTCTTAGACTTTGGGCCATTTATTAGGGGACATACCATGGATGACTTTAAGGTGATATAGTTGGAGTAATGGCAATGCATTTTGTCATCTATCTATTTTCTCTTGTTTGAAAATTCAAGATCTTCTTGGGGTTGTCCAATGGAAGAAGGTGCTCGACTTTAACTATCAAGCTTTGTTTATCTATACAGGCTGAAGCTTGAGCTTGACTCATATTTACTAATTGAGTTGAGCACAAATAACTCACAAGTAGCTTGACTCATTCTCCTTCTCACCTTTTTCTCCTTTATGAGGTGTAGAGGGCAAAGAAAAACCTAGGATCCATGTAACTGCCAACAAAAATCAATCAGTTTTGGATTGGATATCTTCTGTTGAGATCATGAGATAATTCTGTTTCCTTTGGAAATTCCCTCAAACTTTACATCCACATTTACTAAGAAGCAGGAATAACAAACTTTTTTTTT